AAAAGAAAGCTTATGGCAGAAGTTCCGCTTTCGATCTTTACTCACCATGAGTAGATGCAACTACCATGATAGCCCATTACAAAAAGTAAAAAGTAACTTCTATGAAAATTCACATAAAATGTCTCATACTCATTTCCTACTCACAAAAGACAGGGGAAAAGTGAGTAAGACAAATGGTAAAATCACAGCCCTGGGCTTCAAAAGAGGAGATTTGAGCTTGTTCAGGAATCTGCTTGGCAGGATCCTATAGGAGAATCCAGAGAGGTTGTAGAATCTCTTTCGTAGGAGATATTCAAAATTTGGCTGGACAAGGGCCTGAGCAACCTGCTCTGACTGAACCTCTGATCTACATGGAGTGGAGAGAGGCTCCAGCCAGAGCCTGTGGAACACTTACAACGTGCTGAAGTCCTGCTCTCACTTGCAGTCTCCTTTGCCTTCTCAATTACCCCCAAACCTTACTGCTCCCGCCCAGCCCTCTCCTGCCTCTTCAAAGCCTCTGAGCGGGTCCCACTAACGTTCGGTGGAAAATAATGAACTACCACTACTTAACTGAATTTTGGCATTTATTACCAAACTTAATGGGATTTGCAAGCCTAGTGAAAGCTGATCTTAATGAGAAAAGACTTGACATATCACCACTTCCTTTCTTCTTCGTCTTTGCAATTCTATTGACTATACATTATTTTTGCAGGAATTGTGTCTAAATAAGTTTGTTGCCTTATCTCCTAGCCTTGAATCTTCTACAGTGAAATAACCAATTTGTCTAGTCGCAGTTGAATTTTGTGAATTCTTGGTCATGCCCTTCAGTTCAACAAACTAAACATAAATTAAGATTTCCTGCTTGGGTTTTTTTGGAAGCCAACAATAGCTCCACAGCCAGACAGATACCCCACCTACACTTTCGTGATGGTAAAACTTATTTCCAAGTTGAAAGAGTACCAAAAGTCAATGTTTTAGTATTTTGTAAGAAGGAAAAAAAAGAAAGAAAGAAAGAAAGAAAGAAAGAAAGAAAGAAAGAAAGAAAGAAAGAAAGAAAGAAAGAAAGAACCCAAGGGTAAAAATAAAATTAAATGTTCTGGTTTGAAATCAGTGATCATCTGAATTTTTGAGTAATATTTTTAACGAATTTTGACTGGTCATTCTTAAGAAATTTGAAACTATCAAACTAGGTGTATTAGAAAATTTTGAAATTTCTTTCTAGTACTTCTTGGATGGGAAGAGATTTAACGAATACTGCTCTTCTTTGAGAGATTCTGTTGCTTTTGGTAAAATAGCATTTTTACTAATGAAAGACTGTCAGAAAAAAATGGTATTAAGTCTAGAAGTCAGATCCTTATTTCAGAAACATTCTCATTATGGTATAAATTCAGTCTTCCTATAGTTCCCCCCAGTCATTCTAATATAAACTACTGGGCTTTCTTAGTGCTATTTTAGTCAGTTTGGCCAACAAGTTAGAGATCTTGGGCCCCATTCTATTTGCAATTGCTGCTGCATTACCTTTGGACTTCACCCAGAGTAAAATTCAGGCCAGTATGCTTGTGATTAAAACAACCATTTACAGTATGTAATATTGTCTGTATTATTTTAAAGAAAATATAATCTTCATTAAAATTCCATACCATTTCCTTGAGCCATGTAAATAGTTTAACATTATTTTTTCTTTTCTTTCTAAAACATAAAAAAATACTTAAGCACATCATTCCATTGTTCTGCATTTTATAATGCATTACATCAAATAATTGTTGATTGCACATAAAAAAAATTAAAATATAGGTCTTTTAAAATGCTAACATATAAGATATTTCCAAACAACAAAAAATACAGTATTTTTTGTTCATTTGATTACTCCACGTAGTAATGTAATATTTTAATTAAAATGTCATGAGCTATAGTAAATGTGATCCTCCATCACTACCTTTGTGCATTAAAGATTTACAGCTGTAGTGCCATGTATTATTGCCTGGAAGAAACATAATTAGATTTTAGAGTCTACTTTTAAAAGTATATTGGTTTTATGCTTTGCAATAAAATAGAAAGCTTGTTAGATACAATAGACAAATCTTGATAATACTGAAAGGATGAGAAACCAATTTCAGAAAACTCGTTTAGAACATTAGGTGTATATTTAAGTTAGTAAATGACTGGAGGCACATTAATAAAATATGTCTGACCTCTCATAAAAATACGAGTTACATATTATCTGTTTGTTGTAAAAGATCTGACAGATGAATTAATACAGTTGAAACTGCTATCACTGTGAAATGGTGCAGGTTTTTTTTTTTCATATTCAGTGCCTGCTATTTATCAGGCTAAAATATGACTTTGAATGTCTGCCTTAATAAAGCTTAGTTTATAAATCACCATTTTGTCTTTCTTTTGTGTAATAAGGTTGAATTACCTGGAGCATGTACCTAAGAATATGTAAACTAATATTTTTAGACATATAAGAATTGATCTGTGCAGGGATCATCAGGCACCTGAGTCGACAGCAGAATTTTCAGGCAGGCTGATGGCTGCTCTCTGCTTCTTTCACCTTGCAAAGTCACATTTTTGCATGAGAACTTAGACATAGATATGAATTTGGCTGCAGTGTTTCACATGCCTACCTGTGCATCACTGGTACATGCAGAGCAGTGCTACCGAGCTCCCCGTGCCCAGCTGCAGAGGAAGCTGCAGGTGCCTGGCATGAGTGTACGTGGTAGGCTTCTGCATGGTTGAAATCTAGCAACAGGTGACATGAACTCCACTGTAGGTATTGCCATGAAAGCACTCGTTCTAGCTCACAGTCTTTCAGCAAATCTTTGCCTTGGTAAATTCTCTCTGGTGTGGAGGAAGCTGCTGGTGGTGGTGTAGCCTGAGCCACCTGCTGGTCATAGTGGTTTTGGAAAGAAGGGGGGCAGGTCACTGCTCTGTAGAAAGAATAATAATTGGTTGTAAGCTGCTGTTGCTAGAGCTTAGCAAACAAATGATGGAATAGAGGATAAACTCCAAAATTTGTTCTCAGCCACAGCAACTTTAGTACTTAAGAGCACAATGCTTTCTTCTTCAATAACTTCCTTAAAATCGAATCACATTTATGATTTATTTTGTCTCATTGCAGCTTTAATGTATGACTTAATATTGATTTCAGATCTCAAGATTAGTACAATATTAGGTTTAAGAATTCTTTTTTAAAAGAGCTGGCATATAGACTTATGTGGTGTTCTCCATTTGCAAGACGGGTGCAGCGATGCAAAGCACAGGTGTTTGAGTAGGCACTGCTTCCACAACTGTCGTACTGAACCTGGACTTTGGTCTTTAACTCATATCATTCCTCACCCTTCACACCCAGAAAATCAAGAGACTAACTTCAGGCTTTTAGTTAACTGAATCCATCTCAGTGGTTTATTTTCATTCATTTATTCATTGCTAATCTTTTCTTTCTTTTAGAAGTTAATTTTAGTGAAACTTGCCCTCAGCTTAAAAGCATGATCAGCCTATTGACTTTAAAAAGTGATTGTTAGTTAAATAGCACTTATATTTCTGTGTCTTCTTCAGGAGATAGAAAGAATATCTCTATTGTTCAATAAACAACTGTAACAGGAGCAATCTTGTATGACCAGCCATCATGCAGCAAGTATTTTTATAATGTTAATTCCAAACCCTTCTGCATCACTGTTAATCTGGATGGAGAGATGGAGGGTGGGGAAACTGAAAAAAAAGAGTTCTCCAAACAGCTACCTTTGCTATGAGTTACTTTCCTGTCTAAGTTGTAGGACCTTTCACATGGAGCATCTCTCAGTGAGGCACTCTTAGAAATAAACTTTGACAAGTTCGTTAAGGTTAATTTTAGATTGTGAACTTCCTTTGAAACTTGCCAGTTTTCATTACAGAAAAGTAGCCGCCTTAAAGCGCTTGCAGTATTCCACAGATACTCTTGAAAAAAAAAGTCAGATGACCTCCAAATACAGAATATTTCTTAAAACGAAAGCGCTGGGAATAACCCTCCTCCCTGTGCTCTTTCTCATATAGGTTGCCTTAACCCTCATTCACTCCAAATCAGCATTGCAAATTCCGACATTCATTTGCACAGAAGATCACAGGAAACTATTAATTCTTCACAGATGATGGGAAAGCTTAAATATGTGGCCATTTGTTTTGCTGAAAGCTATAGTTTGAACACTATTTTCATTATGGGGCAGTGGGGAAATGGAGGCAAATGGCTTAGTGACCAGCAGGAGGGACAAGACATTTCTGCAAGACTATTGCAATTAACAGTGAGTTTTCTGTCTTCATGTGCATATCTTTTGCTCCGTGGCATGGGTCCCCTTTAAGTCAGAATACAAAGCAAACTACACTAGGTTTGGTCTATAACCATGGCTGAAAACAGAATATCAAAGGGAGGTTCTTCCTCCATGGTACTTTTGTTTTCTACTGAGCTGTATTGGAAAGGGAAGAAGACTCAAGTCTGGATTTTAAAGTCAACTGACTGAACCAAACACCTAATTTCATTCTACAGTGGGAATGTGAATTCCACCTTTAGGAAACTTGAGGCATAGTTTTTTAAGGTACTTAGACATTGGTTCTCTGTCAGATTCAGGAGCTGCTTGACCAAATACTTGTTTTAAAGGCAACTCACATACTTTACTTCCACAGTTGTCAACCTTTTCACAAAACTGTGGGGCATACTTCTTTTTCAAAATCCAGTATTGCCCTTCCCCGGGCCTCCATTCTATACGTGTTGGGTAAAAAAACTTCTGTAAATAATGCATGCATCATAAACTGTTTATAAATATCTTCTGATGGTGGGCTGCTTCCATGGGAAACAAGAGGCCTTACCTTCCCATTATGCCTCAGCTTTTACCTAGATGGTTGCTAGCATGGAGCTGAAGAATTGACTGTTTATTCTCCTCTTGTTTCCCATGGAACAAGAATTACAACAGAATCCACTAGCAACAGGACTAATGTGTCCAAAATATCCCTGATCACTGCTTAATGTGATTAACTGTGTTTCTTTGCAGGTGCATATGTGCTTCAAGTAAAGGCGACAGATGCTGATGATCCCACTTACGGAAACAGTGCTCGAGTGGTTTACAGCATTCTTCAGGGGCAACCGTATTTCTCCATTGATCCGAAGACAGGTAAATAGTTTATCAGCAACAGTGGAAGATTCAAACTTTGTATTTGGATTCACGTGGACAGTATTAATGAATAAATATGGACTGGGCTGATATGGCCAAAAGTCAGTAGACTAACTTTGCACATGATTCAGTTTTGAGTATTGACTAGTTTTTGTATAATTTACAATCTGTTGTAGAAACAAAAGAAACATGTGCCTCCAATCAGTCCTGAAATATCTAAAATATGTGTACATCGAACATTTCTTTTTTTTATGCTTTACCATTTTTCTATAGCTAAAGCTTTATCTGCTACATGCATTCTATTTTTTTTCTTCTTTCCTGATGATTCAGTTTTGTATCTTGGGTCTACAATCTTTTTTCTCAGCACTTTTACTTGCTGAACTTAACAGTCATAAATTCTCTAACAATGATTGTTTTGCTATATAGAGCTAATTTGAGACTGTGGACCAGCTAATCATCTCCTGCCCTCCTTTTTTCCTGGGGCATAGTATGTTTGTCTGGGGTTACTGGCTGTGTGAGCAGAAAAGGATGATATGTTTAAAGAGACTGAAGTATTTGGGAGGTTGGTAGACATGTTAATTAGGTATCTCGTCCTATATTTCTAAATGTCATTCTTGTTTCTGTATTTAGTAATTCAGTTAAGGAGCCAATAACCTACACAGTGAAAGCCATGCATTGTGTCGTCCTGAATGTGTTACAGGGATAGTTGTCCATATGCTCCTTTCAGCAAATAGTTTCTCCTTCCAATGAAGCTGTTCTTGAATGTCAGATTGTGTGTTAAAGAGCCATTATCCCTGATAACAGTTTGGGGGTGAGAGCCTCATAAGGCTGTTATTGCACAATGTCCAATGGACACTTCCTTTGTCACATGCTCCATTTAGCAGGAGATTGTATTGCAATTTGCAGTGAACAACTTTACTTTTCAAACCGAAATGGGACTTCTTCAAGTGAATTGGAGAAAAAAAAAAAGCGTACTTACCTTTATACTTATTTATTTAATTTCAGTCTTGTAAAGAATGAGGAGGAATTCAATGGCAAGAAAAACCTTTACTGTAACCACAATTGGAGTTCCAGTACAAGTTTCCCAAGAAAAAATTAGTAGTTATTAGTACTTGAATAAGAACATTTTTTCCTGCAGCACTTTGAGTTGCTGTGTCATATGCTCTCATCTATTCCTCATTAGTGAGTAGTGAGTTGACCACAGGTGATGGCGTGCACCCTACTAGCCCTGGAACATCATACAAACCCAGTGTTTCCACATCTGTCTATTAATATCTTTAATGAGTTACTCAGGTGGACTTTGGTGGGGGGACACACACACGACACAGTAAATAATGTACACAGCTGTAAAGGAAGATTCATTAAACAGCTAGCCCAGTATAGCTTAAAATCCCATACCAGGAGAAAAGCATATAGATTAATGCTTCTATGAGCAACAACAACGTGCTGTAACTTGTCTTACATCGGAAAGGTCACAATATGAGAGTTACCTGTGGGTCTAACAATGACTGTAGAGATAACCAGTATGTGAATAACAATGCACAGGATGCTCTAAAATCCAGAAGTCTTGGGCAGCTCTACAGATCTTCTGGCATTTCAAATTCTTTATTTTACAACTGAGGAGATAATACAGTAGTCTTTCATTGTGGAGTTTTACCGCCATATACCTGCCTCAGGTGTCTCTGACAGGAAAGGAGAGGAAAGCCATTTTGGTACAAAATGACAGAGAAACTCAGAACTGCTGGCAGACGGATAATCATTTTTTGAGTTGCTCCTGTTGGGGTTTTTTGCTGCCTCTTGCATTCTAGTGAGAATTTTGAGGCATTCCCTTGTCATTATTTAAAGAACTTAAGAACATCCATACTAGGTCAGACCACAGGTCCATGCTGCCCTGTATCATGTTTCCAAAAGTGATGGCCTGCTCAGCTCTAGAGAAGGATAAAAGAAGTGTTTAGTGATACACCCCCCGAACACTCTTCTAGACTTCAACAACTTGTTCTTACAAAGTTCCTGGGTGATTAGCAGTGTCCATGTAATTAAAACTCTAAAAGAGTTTCTCCTCCATACCTTGTTCACTTCCCAGTAGGGTTAAATTGTCCAGTATCACAGTATCTGCACACCTAGCGACTAGAAATTCCACAGCAAAAGTTTTTTTGAATGAAGAACCAGTTCCTCTTGCTTCTTTGAAACGTGACACCTCTTATTTCATACCTCACACTTACATTGCACGAGACAATGAACATTTAATTCCTATTTATTAGTTCCCCATGACCTTATAGACCTCTGTTCTCCCTCAGTCACCTCTTTTCTAGATTGAAGACTTCTTTAAACAGAAGCCATTCCATAACACCAATAATCCTTCTCCTCCTTCTCGGGATGAGAAAGTGCTCACAGTATTCAAGAAGGAAGCTCATATGGATGTATAAAATGGTTTAATCATAGCACTTTTGGGTTTTATACCTTTCCAAACAGTTCCAAATATTCTGTTTACTTTTTAGCTTCTACCATACAGAAGCTGATATGTTTGTGGAAATTTCTATTACTACCTCAGGATCTCATTGCAAAGCGGTAATGGTGAAACCACTGACCATAACTTTATATGTGAAATAAGAATTGTGTTTGGCACACACATGACTTTACACATACTCCTTTCTCAAATCTTTCCTGATAGACAATAAACATTTACTCTGATATGAATCAGAGTAAATAGTTTTTACCTTTATGGGTGTGAATGTCACAGCTGCCCCTTTTCTCGTCTTCTTTACTGACTTCCTAATTTTTTACAGTGCTTTGCTGGAGGTAAGCAAACTATATGGAAGTGGGAGAATTAGCTTTTATTGCTCTTGCAGGAAAGTTAAATGCGTTACAGTCCCTGCTGGAGAGCAGCTGTTGGACTGGCACATTTTAAGGCCTCAAATCTTATACATGGGGGTTACTTTTTGGTGCTATGAAATTGCTCTTCTGATTTTAATGCAAGTTTTCTTTAACATAGAGCACTTCTCTTAAGACAGATAACCTCCCTTATCTTTTCTCTGTACGTTCTGTTCTGTTACTAAAATGTCCTCTTAACAAACTTCTCTCCACCCAATTTTCTGATGTGTTTATGAGGTCAGTATTCTTATTTATGGATAAATGTCTCCAATTTTTTCTTAGACTCAGTATTCTAGTCCATATTCTGACTTCATTTATATTCTTGAAATCCAAGTTGGTGTCAGCAAGAGTATTGATGTTTATATTTATTCAGGAGGTTTTTCACAGAACCTGGATTTTCTCTTCCACATAAGTGGATGATCTCCTGTTGAATTATGGCTCAATAACTTTGCAGAGTATATCTTCTGGCCCAAGTCCCATACATACTATTTCAATTTTAAGCAGCCTCAATGAGACCATACTTTTATGCACATTTGATATTGATGACATTTGCAAAGAAAAAAAAAAATCAAAATTATTCAGTTCTGGAGCTGAACAATCTTTACTGTAAAATTTCAAAGTAGGAAGACTTAAAAACACTCAGAACACCATTATATGCACATAAGGCCTCTATATTATAATAAGCCTTTTATTTAAAGTTTGGGTATCCTTTGTGAAGCTGAAGCTGGAATGCCAAAATTTGTAGTCCTTTCTTTCCCATGGATTTTTACCTCCATTTTATTTTTATGTTTTGCTGGTTAGATAACTTTAAATCACCTTCATCCTGTCAATATGAACTGCTGATTTTGGTAGAAATGGTATTTTTCAGGGGTTTTTCTATGCTTTTGAAATAGAGTAGGTAGAAAAGTGGAAATTGCCTATGAACTGCTAGACTTGAAGATTATTCTCATTGATTTTTTTTTGCTGGAGACAAAGGGTTTTTTACAGATAAATGTACAGAATGTCCCTATACTTCCAGACAGGAATAAATGATGGGTGACTGGGTACCTTACTGCTGGAGTGATAGCCAATCTTTCATTTTCTGAAGACCATCTGGAATATTTCTAACTGAGAAAGCCAGTCAGTTGTACCTAAAACAGGTGTAACAATCAGAGGAACTGCATGTCCTGCTCACAACCTATCTGTGCATTTTCAGTTTTTCTACTTACTGTTATTTTGTTTTGCTAGTAAAACAAGGGAAGTCTTTCATTCTCGTAGCTCTTTTCTTCTTACAATGAGCATAGCAAGGATATTGTAAAATATTTTGGAACTTACAGTCTTTACAATGGAAAAGTGTTGATTAAGAGATTCAAGAAGAAACCTAGTAATGTTCATCCTATTTACAAAAAGATTCTTTCATTAATATCACACAAATATGAACAAATTTTATATTTTTACAATTCAGGATTTCTGTCTGGAACCAACAAAACATTTAACAGCACTGATTGTTTTCAAAAGCTGAAAAGGATAGTGTTGCAGTATCTAAATGTTTTTAAGTATTTTCTAGTCATATTCCAGATCTATGCAGTACAGTATATGCCATGCTGAGGTAGAAAATAGCAGTTATTATTAATGTTGTTGTTATCATCATCAGTGGTGCAAGTGGAGAGAAAGGAAATTGTTATACAATTCAATTCAACAGGACTATTTAATAGGTTCCAGAAATAGCAGATTTAGGTCAAAGTTATTTCTAGACTCTGAACAAGTAGTATAAGCTAACGGTTTCTATTCTTACTTGTTAACACAGCAGTGGTAAGTTGCTAAAAATATAAGAATGACCCTTAAATTTTGTTTCTTATCATTCCAGACCTATTATAACACCAGGGGGAAAAGACTGCTTTTAAATCCAAATGGTTTAATACTAGAAAATAATATTTTCTAAAAAAATACTAACTTAGAGGAGAAGCATGCTTCCAATTGGTTTATTTTTCAATTGTGCATGTTATGTGCACCAATCTGCACCTAGCCATTTTCTGAAAACTATTGCTGAATATATATCATTTTGCAATTTAATATGCCCTTTAAAAATTTGACAAGGAAATGCATTTTCTCCTCTACATTTGGTTTCAAGAGAAAGGCTTGAGTGCCCAAAACCTTATAGCTTTTTACAACCTCATCAGCTATTCCTATGATCAGTAGTACCTCTCTCTCTCCACAAGTCTTCCTTCTATCATATACATTCTTAACATATGAGAAGGGACATTATGGCATACCTATTTAGATATCAGCTATCTAAAAATCACAAAAGATTGAGTCATTTGGGTAATGTCTTACCATGATATTTTAATTACATTTATTTAAGAAAACTCCTGAAGTTTTCACTGCATCTATGTGCTATATCAAGAAAACTTTCTCAAGCAAAGGAGAGTCTTCTAATAAGGACCTTCTTTTGTACAGAAGGAATATTGTCTTGGCCTACAATAACTTGTGATGGCAAGTGACTGGTTGGAAGCAACTGAAGATGCAGGCTCTAAAATGCATCACCACCTCTTCCTACATTGCCCTACTCTGCACAATGCAGCGGCTTTTGGTCCTGATGTGGCAAACCTATGCTCATGCTATTCACATCCCTAGTGAAAATGCACCATTCTCTTTCAGCCATTCATGCCCTGATTGAAAAGACACAGCAGTCATTTTGAATGGTTGAATAGTTGAGAAGCACACTTTTGAAAAGCCCAAGTGATTTGCATGTTTCTGTGTGAACTTCTCTCTTATCAACCCTTTAGGAAGATTCCATTCCTGGTCCAAGAGATCCAGTATTAAAACGTAATACTAGATAATCACAGCCCTTTGCTTACTTGTTCTTTCTCTTTCCCCTTTCTTCTTGTAGGTGTAATAAGAACGGCTTTGCCAAATATGGACAGAGAAGTGAAAGAACAATATCAGGTTCTAATCCAAGCCAAGGACATGGGAGGACAGCTGGGAGGACTAGCTGGTACTACCACTGTAAACATTACTCTCACGGATGTCAATGACAACCCACCCAGATTTCCTAAGAGTATGTTGTATTCCAAATGCACTAATTTTCAAATAAGCATGAGTGAAAGTACTAATGTGAAAAATCCTTTAGTTAATGAATTGAGATCCAGGAAGAACAGCATATGATGAAAAAATTTAGAACATACTGTTGGGTTTTTTTTAAATAATATAAAGTTCAATTTGAAAGTATGAATTTTGAATGTTTAAGAGGAAATATATCGTCATTCCACAGGACCAGCCTGAGCCGGACAGTTCATTTCATTTACACTTCAAAAATTATTTGGGAAATACTATTTTGTCAAGGGAAACTGGATGATCCCCTTCAAATGACAAAAAAGTTTATAATGTAAGACTTCCAGGTACCAAAGACAAACTGGCTCATGCTAAGCATTGTTCTTAGGATAATCAGGAACAGATTTTTTTAAACATCTTGGCCCAGAAGATTATGTCTGTCCTGTAAACACTTATAACCTCAAAATAATGATCATCCACTGACAATTTATAACATCTCATATCAATTAGTTTAAATGGGGCTTTTCAGAAATATGCTAATTTAAAGAGTTTCATAGTCTGTATATGATTAGCAGGATTGTCACTTACTGCTCTCCTTAAATGTACTGAGGTTTTGTATATTCCATATCTTTGAAATGAAGACACTAATCAAGCATAAACCTTGATAACTATGCCAAAACAATTACCTACTAAAAGTTTTTAGTAAGGCAAATTCATATTAGAACATTCATGTGAATTTGCAGTAAGATCATGGCAGCTTTTTACTTTGTATCTCTTTTCATGCACATGAATTGTAATCCCACTTTATGTATTATAGGTGCTCCTTAGGCACCAAACCACACCTGAAACTTCACAGTTTTGTCTCATATAAAAAATCTTCTTCTTCTTTTCCTCAGTATGAAAATACATTGCATTTCTGCAGGCATGTAAGAATGACAATGTTAAGACAAAGATCCATCTTGCCCTGTCTTCTGTTTGTTACGCTGATGTCTATACAGAGGGTATACATAAGAACGGACCAAACAATACTCGTGAACATTTCCTCAGTTTCTAATGATTTTTAGCCCAGGTGGTGTCTTTGTATTTAACAATCCTCAATGAATTTTTCTTACAACAAGTTGTTCCCATTGCTTTGAAACTTATGTAAAATTTCAGAGTCCACAACATCCTATGTTAGTGAGGTGCGCAGATTAATCATATATTGCACAACAAACAGCTTCCCCTCATTTGTTTTGAATACATTCCTACCTATCTACCTGCATGTTGACTTCCAGAGAATTCAGAAAACATTGCAAAATATGACCTTTAATTGGTAATACTGTGTTGAATTTTTTTTTACCTTATGAGATATTCTCCATGAGTCCATTAATCCTGCTTCTACCATTTTTGCCCTATACATGTCAGTCATATCCATTATTAGCTCCCTGGAAATCTTTGGGGGAAAAAATCGGTGTTACATTAGCACCTCCAAGCCTTCATGTACCACAGTGGTTTGAAGCAAAATATTACTGATCATAATAGTTCACTTATTTCACACTTCAGTCTCTTGGGTATGTAAAAGCTAATCCACATGATGGGTTACTGTTGTGTGTGTTCATTCCACAACTGCTTCTATGAATCCCCCATAAAGAAGGGTTCCAGCATAGAAAAAGTTCCTGAGCTGTTCTACACTGAACACAGAGAAAAAAAATGTATTACGTTTTACATTTGTGATCTTATCTTCTCTGAGCACTTCTATATCTCAATTTTGGGTTGGCTTTACACAGTTCCTCTCAGGCTTTTGCCTCCAGATGTCTTTAAAAGACAATTATTATTAGCTTGTTTGCCAGAGATTTATTCAAACTCATTTTTTGTCTTCTTTATTATGGTTTTATAGATAAAGCAGATTTTATAGTTCTTTCTATTGTCCTCCCTGAGACACAACTTCATTTTTTTGAAAGATGTGTTCTTCTTTTATTAGCTATGTTGTTTACCCTTACTGACTTGCTTTTTAATGGATGCTGTACATTTGCTGTGGGTCTTCAAAATAGTGTCCCTAGATGGCATCCATACTGCCTACAGTGATTTAACTGTCTCAGCTATCCCATTCAGATTTTTTATAGCATTATCCCTCAGTTTTATTTATTTCCACTTTTTTTTTTTTTTTAAATTTATTTAACTGAGTACAACCACCATGTAATTTTGGCTCTTATTACTCTTGCACGGATATTACATTTCAACTCATTATGGTTGCTGTAAAATTTAGAACTAAAGAACTTTTCCTGACTAGCTAGTGTTAATACTGTTCTCTTCTTTAAGTCTTACTTGACTTAGAGCTTCCTTTAACAACTATCGTTATTCCTCCACTGATAAGGTCTACTTTACCTTTCCTGTGTATTTTTTTCCTTGGTACTGCGCTGTGTGACTGATTTTCTTCTTTTCCATAGATTTTGAACATGCCTATTATGCTGATATTCTTGTTTAGTGTTAGGTATTAAAGCTACCCATACTAGTTCCCATTTTAACCCTCGGCTTTATATTGTGGCTTTCTTTCTCCTCTTTACTGTACCCTAGTTCGATTCTGTGTGCTCTACCGTTCCTGCATTTCCTACTGGATTACCATCACCTTTTGTAGCATTCTTTGGTGAAGAATGCAGAATACTGGTGACTGCACCCTTTATCTGAATGGTATACTTTTGCATTTTTTTGAATTGTGTGCTTTCCAACACCTGCAAAATTTCCTGAACTTTTCAGCTAGAAGCACAATGGTCATAGGAAAGTTTTTAAACTCTCTAAAGCCTGTTTTTCCTATGGTCAAAATGAATTTTGCATCTTCTCTAAGGACACCCATTCTTTAGCAAGTACCCCTACTTTCCAGTAACGTGAATCCCTTCTCTTTACACCTTTTTCTCCGCCAGGCATTTAAAGTCTTGCCTTTCCATCTTCCTCTCCCTGATCATACATAGCGAGACAATTTCAGACTATGCTACTATGAATGTCCTTAACTTTGGCTTTCACTTGCAGCCTAAATTTCACCCCTGAGACCTCTGTCCAGTCTTACCCTATTTTGTCAGAGCTCACATGGACTACAGCCACTGGTGCCTCCTGGTGTTTCCTGACATCCTATCAAAGCACTTGTGGGATGCTCCAAATCTGTTCAACAAGCGAATCATCCCAGAGAGTCGCTTTGACCCAGCATTCCCACAGTCCTCGTCCTCGATGCTTGTTGAACCACCCACCACGGCAGGCTGCTCCTTGCCTTCAGCTGGAACCCCTGCAGCTGGGAGGGTACCACAGGTGCAAGGGGAAATAATGTAACTGCCTGGAAACTGAAAAACTTGGTGCATTGGCCGAGTTCCTTGGGCCCGCCGCTCTTTCCCATGTCTGATTTTCAGTTGTATATTTTACTTTCTTTGCTGCTCAGGGCCTTAGCAATTTTGTTTTACTGTATGACTTCATCTGCTGCAGTGTTGCAAAAATACACAAGTCTCACAATGTCGGACAGTTTTCATGACACAGAGAAATCATGGAATATATCATCCTCTTTGAAGAAGATAGCCTTCAGGTCTCCTTTAATGCATGCTCTCTAGTTATGACATCTTTGCCCAATTGTTGCTATGAAGGAGCAAAAAAAAATCACAGGAGACCAGGCTTGTCCTGTGCTTTGCATGCTAATAGGGTTGAAAACCTTTTCTTTCTATTATATCAAATGTCACAGAAGCTGAATTGTAGCACTGACTCTCAGCAAAACAGAAGAGAATAATATTGGAGGTTCATGTTGATATTGAAAATAATAAACATTTAGCATGGCTTACAAAGCTAAAATGTCAGTATGGGGACTCCAGTGTATTGCAACAACCTTGATCAAGGCAGACAGTTACCTGAAATGTTCTGGGGTTTTGGGGATGTTTTACAGGCAACATATTTGTATTCTTGTAAACTAAGGTCTTCTGCATAATCAAAATAGTAAGAGCAAAAATCCTGATCAATGGGGATTTACTTAGTCAGTCCCATTTGGTTAAGTGTATATGAGAAGATGTATAGTGTGCCTGAAATTCACAGAGACACAAAGGTAATTACAGCTAAACAAAAATAATTGACAGGGAAACAAAAAAAATTATTTCTAATATAGTAACTGTATTTTTCAGTTTTGCTCTTTCAAAATGTTGCAATGATTCAGAGTAACTACCTGCCAGGAAATGGAGTTTATCATTTTCTTGACTACCATAGCTAAAAGGATACTTGTGCAGAATTTTAGTTTCTGTGAAAAATAAGCCTTTAAAATCAGGTCTGGGTAGGTGCCAAGTTGGTGGCAAGACCTGAAGAGCCCTTGCTGTTGCTGGGAGTGGAGACCTCCACTATCACACATCACTCAGCGCTGGTCAACAAAGCCAGGAAGTCCAAGTGCAGACTGAAAAAAAAAGGTTGAAGGTCCTTTAACACTAACTGCTGCAGGGTAAATATTTTTGCATCACATCATCAGGACCACAGCTTGCCAAAGTGCTTACACCAAAGATGCTATGTTATAGGTTACCTTATCAAATAAGAAGATATTACTTATCGCAGAATAAAACTTAAATTTATTTTCTTAACTCAGTCAAGATGAAAAAAAAAAAAAAAGATTTCACAGCAGAAGTGCGAGAACATATATTATTAATACTGGGAAGAAGCTACATTGATAAATAATACATTACAAACTTGCCAAAAAATGTATCACAGAACACCTTCATCTCATCGAGGGTCCTTTAAGGAGACAGGCAGGTTCAGATGGGATATCAGCATCCAGTGATGAAAAACCACTGACTATCCTGCTG